CTAGAATCCTACTTCATCTTGTTTTTTTAAAATTTTTTATGTTCTTGTAGTACATGGTCTTTGGTCAAATTTTATCAAAAATGGCTATGAGAGAATTCCCCACTTTTATAGTTTTTTTCTAATTCATATACATGCTCCTAGTTTGCATAGAAAGTTTAAGATGATTATGATCAGAATTAGATTTTTTACAAATTTCTAAAGTTGCTCCAAAAGCCATATACGTCTACAAATATGTGTACACATACATGTACATACATGTGCTTGTCAACTCATAAAGAATGCTGTTTAGCTCACTTAGCATACTTTGTGGGAAACCCTGGGTATGTATCATAGGGAAGGTTAGAGACAAAGAAGATCTCAATGTTAAAAAGTTAATGAGAAATAAAAGCTGCAAAGGGCATGCATGGAATAATAGACAATAGTAATAGTAATAAGGCATAATAATAGTAACAGTAATACACAAATGTGACAATCACTTACATTGATCTATAATACTAAAGGTTTTAGAATAATTACATATTGCTTAAAGGCTGCACAGTAATAGTAATAGTATTAATAGATTTACCTAATTATACATTTCTATACATAATAGTGATGACGTACGTAGTGCATTCCCATATGTCTGTCCACAACACAGATACAAGACACCCACACATACATGTAGCTATATGATACTTCTTTTCTCAGCATGCAAGTGCAAATCCTAATCTACACTACAGTAAACAAACTGACTACAACAGATAGACTATTAAGATATACAAATCTGTTCATTATTACTCAGTTATAATTAATATTTCATAATTTGGTGTAGATGGGGTAAGACTACATGGTTAGTAGTATAATTAATGAAGCAGCTAAATGAAAGTTGCAAACACCAGCATTATGTAGATCTATTAGTGTAGCTATTATGTATACATAATATGTTCTACTCCAATTCATGCAGCATTAGCAGCAGCAACAATACACGCAATAATTGTTTTGCAACCCTTAAGGCCTTCATACACGAGGCAACATGTTGCTAGCAACATTTGT